ATCCAAATGCTAATAAAATTTTAGTCATTTTTTAATTTTTTGGCCTTAGTAATTTAAAAAAATTGAAATCTTTAGATAAAATCATAATTTAAAATTAAATTAAAAAAATTAACTAATGAATTAAAAAATTATCTAAACAACAATAAAATGTTAATTATATTTTAACTTTTAGTGGTTAATGCGAGTAAAATTTAAAAAGTACATGGTATTGATGAGAAGATAAGATAATGTTCTTACTTCTTCTTCTTTTTTTTTTTTGTATTAATCTTTCGGTATTTAGTAACCACATTGGTTCCTGACTAATTCGGAATCAAACTACGTTGGTTTCCATTAGGGAGAAACTCTTCTAACACCTATTTCTCCATTCACAATACTCAAACTCGAGATTTTACTTAAGCAGAACCGAACTCCTTTCACTCAAACCAACAAGCCGTTGGTTATTCTTCCTTTCTTTTCCATACGTAAAATGTTGGTTGATATTATGTAAAAAAAAAAACCGTTGGTTGATATTAGCTACTTTAACTTTATTCAATTTTGTAGTTAAAAAGAAAAACTACCAAATTAGTACCTATATTTATTTGAGATTTTAGAGGGTTTTTAAAAGTTTTATTGGATGCCAATGAAGTAAATAATTTAATGATAATTTTTTTGTTGAATATAAGAGATTTTAAGTTCGAGTCACATGACATGCGGGTAAAATATGATAAGAGCTGAAAGATGGTTACCTTTTATTGTCCAACTAAAAAAAAAAAAAAAAAGAGAGATTTATTGGATATTTATTTAAGATTTTTGATACATTTTAAAAGACACATAAAGTATTTATTTGAAATTTATTACTATGCAACTAAGATTAAAAAAAAGATTTATTGGACATTTATTTAAGATTTTTGATAGATTTTAAAAGACATATAAAGTATTTATTTGAAATTTATTACTCCTTTCATTTATTTTTAATAAACTTAATTTAATTTTTTAACTTTTTACATATAAATTTTAAATGAAAATTTAATATATTATATAAATAATAATTAAAATTTTTTAATCAAATA